CCCCAAAACCCCAAAACCCCAAAACCCCAAAACCCCAAATGGGTAAATATTATGTTAGCATTATAAATTAAATAGGATGAAGATTTTAACATGGTAAGAAAACCTTGCTTAGTTCTAAGGCATGGCGATTAATATCTACAAGTTAATTCGCTAAGATTCTTTCTAATGACCATAGCACACATTTTTGCTTAATCCTTTTGCTCCAAGTTTATTAAATTATTGGATAGTAGGAGATTTGATGAAGTCTAAAATTGGCTTATTAGGTGAAATTTTAAAGCTCTATCTATTTCACAATTTTAATAACATTTGGCTAGCAGTAAACTCTATCAACCTTAATAGAGTTTAAAATATCAGTTAGCTTTCTGTGAGGCTCAGAGTAAAATATTTGGTGACTTATTAATAAATATCGCCCTATTTTCTCAAAACAGGGCAAAAAATGGACTTAATTATAACGATTCTCTACATCTTTCTATCTGATTACTCTCCTAAGGCCTAATTTTCCCTTCTTTACTTTCTTCTTCATTTGAAATTTTCCAATTTGTAAAAATCCATAGAATAAGGCTAGTAAGGCATCTTCACCAAAGCTCCAATAAAAGTGCTAACGCTGTTACTAGGCACTCCTATATTTATAGTTAAATTATTTTAGAACTTATTTAGTTTGAAAATTCTTAGTTGGTGATCGGCCACTTATATCGCCTCCCTCTTAACTAAATTTCACTTCCCAAAATCCTCCTAAAAATCCCTTTACTCCTTAATTATTCTCACTTTTGAACTAAGCCTGCAGCTTCTTTTTTTTATTTTTAGGTAATACAGCTCTATATGAGGATTGGGCTTAAATGTCTATTTTGGGGGTTGTGCTGGATAGGAGGTTATAGGCATTGGGAAGAGAGGGTTGAGGGATGGTGGGTGGGGTAAAAGAGAGTCAATTATTAAGCTTTCGGAAAGTTTGGTTGTAACAAACGAAGATTTTCGAATTTTGAATAAATCTGCATAAAAATTTTAGTAAAAAAATCGTGTGAGAGGTAGAATATGATAAATTATGAGAGATAACGCTTGTATTACTTCTTAGTGGCTTGATAAAATAGAGATTCTGTTATTTAGGAGTAGTTATTTTTGTAAGAGTGATATAGGTTTATATCCCAACTTCCTAAAAATAATTCACAAATTTCCCTCCTCCACCTCCCCTTCTCCACTCCTCTCTACGTACCCCTACAGGCTAACTTTCTTCACTCTCTGCCTAAAATTTTGTTCCTGCTGAGCGGTGATCATACGATTAATCTTGAAAATGTTGAGAGAGTGCTTAAAAACCAATTCATTGTTTGTGCACAACATTGAGTATTTCAGATGTTCTTTTTGTATTATTCTTACAATAAAACATAAAAATCTTATCAATCTTAAATTTATAGCAAATTTTCGAGATAAATCAAAGGTTCTCTTAATTTTTATCCTCTGTGAAAAATACACAAAAATTATAACTCATGATATAGGTTAGCTTTACTACTACAGATAATACTGGCAGCACAATGTCCTGTAGGAACAGATACTTCCATGAAGATCAAAGGCTTCTCTTTCAATTATCTTTTAGAGTTTAATAACCCTGAAGTTACTAATGGGATATCATGCCCAGATAATTCATGTGTTTACATGACAGTAAATGGTGACTTTCTTCTGACAGATAAAGTCAGAGTATTCAAGTTTGATTCCAACTTTAGTCCAGTTTGGATGCTCAACTTTGATGGTTATAATATTCCAAAGAATGGTATTGCTCTTCACTCGTCAGGCTCAAACATGGTGTATTTGCTAAAGTCTTCTTTGCATTGTCCTTTGGGCAAGATTGATAGTACAAGTAACTCAGTTCTTGAAGAAATAACACTTGGGAGTGCTGTAAATTGTAACTCTCTTTCTTTTACAAATGACTATTCAAATATTTATGTTTCAGGTAGAGTTTTATCTACGCGTTATGTGTTCAAAGTTGGATATGCAAACTTTGGGACTACCACAGTTACTTCTATTCCTGTGGGTTTGAACTCAATATACTCTGTCCACTCTTATGTAAGTTCAAGTCAAGAATTCCTAATGATCACTGGCTCAGTGACAAGTCCCACTCAAGCCTACAGTCTGCTCTCAATCAAATATGATACAGACACTCAACAATGGGCCAAGAAGATGGGGTGTCCAACTGCATGAGTGCTAACTGGAACCAATGATGCTTTGGTTCTAGAATCAGACAATAAAGTTATCAGCTATTTCCTAGACACCAAGCCAATTATGTATGTGAGTAATCTTGATGATGGGACTCTTGTAGGATCATATTTTCCCGACTTCACACAAACCAGTTTAGAAATCAGTAGTATGGTTTACGCTACTTCATTCAGCAAAGTTTTTATACTAATGAAATACAACAGTGGAGCCTACAAAATTGAATATGATCCCTCTGCTAACTCTTTCTCTAACGCTTATGTGAGTACTACAATTATGCCAGGATGGATACTTGAGGCCGGAGGCCATACTCTAATCGGATCTGGAGTGCCCTCTTCTTCTACTGTTATTGGGATATCGAGGCTTGCATCAAATGGAATTTATGGACAGAACACTGCAGTATCTATGATATCAACAGGTGGCACATTTATCTCATCAACTGGATATTCATATTCTGATGATTTAACACCTTATGTTACAGAATCAGGTAAATATTATTTTAGCTAATTAATATTTAGGTCCGTCAGCTGAATCAAAAGGAGCAGCAGTTGGCATTTCATTGGTTTTACTCCCTCCATCAACAACACCAGACTTGACTGTAGAATCTGAAGTTATTTTTGATGGAACTGAATATGTTTTGGACACTACAGAAGAAGCTACTGGAAATATTCCTGCTTACTTTCCATGATCAATTAGTGGAGCGACTACAATTACTTCTGTAATTGATCCTCATTCAAATGGGCAGCCTCTTCCTGCATGGATAACAGTTGGGGCAGATTCCCTTTCATTTGATTATACTGTACCAACATCTGTAGGAGGTCAGACATTTTATTTCACTGGAAAAAGCACTGTTGGTGGTAAAGTATACTTAAGAAATACTCAGATAAACGTAGCAGTCGTCCCTTCTCCAACTCCTTCTCCAACCCCTTCTCCAACCCCTTCTCCAACCCCTTCTCCAACCCCTTCTCCAACCCCTTCTCCAACCCCTTCTCCAACTCCTTCTTCTAACTCTTCTTCGACCTGCGGAACTCAGAACTGAAAGAGTTGCATTTCTTCTGTATGCTCTGAGTGTAAGGAGGGATATGCACTAACTAAATCTAAAACTTGTGAGAAAATTCATGGAAAGATAAATCTAAACTCTCTGCTAATTATCGCAGGACTTGCAGGAACCATGATGTTTCAGATGATAGAAGGGGCGATTTCAGGAACTTCGATGAAAAATATATGGATATTGTTCAATCAGTTCCAGCTGTTCATTATTCTGCCGTTTTTAAGAACAGAGCTTCCACTGAAGTTCATTCAGACTTTGCAACTTCTTGAATCCAGTATTTTAAACGTCAATCTTTTTGACATTAAAACTATCCCTGTCTTTGATACAATAATTGAGTATCTTGATTATGAAAATCCATATCAAGAATTCAGAGAGAACGAGTACGAATCAGGGAGTGCATTTATCAACTGATTCAATCTGTTTGCTTGTCTAATTGGAGCTACTATTTTCTCTCTTGTGTTGTATCCTCCTCTCAAATTATTTCTGAAGAAAAGGAAAGGATGCTCGTCGAAGCTTTTTACTTACTTTTCAGAGTTTCTTTTCTTTCAATTTCATTTCAGATATTTTCTTGAAGGATTCTTATTTATATCATTGGGTTCAATGAGTGAAGTGTCCAGGATCTTTCTCAATTCAGGTAATCATGTCTCATTTGGTATAAGTATCGTTACACTTATTCTTCTCTTCTTATTCATATGTCTTGTGCCAGTTCTGTTTTTTGTTATGAAAAACCCTCATGAAAACATATATGTGAAAGAATTATTTGAAGGTTTCAAGAAGAACAAACTTGCTCAACTGTATAACTTCACATTCTTGATAAGGAGGCTCTTGGTGATCTCAGTAATAGTTATTTTTAGAACAGCTAACCTGATGCATAGACTTACAATTTTCGTTGTTTTGCAAATTTTAGCTCTTTTATTTGCAATGATAGTAAAAAGTCACGAGAAAAAATATTCAAATATTATCGAGGTTACCAATGAAGTAGCATATTTATGAATATAATCGTGCTCATTATTGTATACCAAGATTCAGAATCTCAAATTGTTGAAGCCATGCTGAATAACTCAATTATATGCAACACAATGATAGTACTTGTGATAAGTATTGTCAACTTGATCTTTCAAATAAAATCTTTATGGCGAGGAAAGAAAAAGATTAAAATATCAGCTGCTAACGACCAAGTCGAGATCATAAAGGATAGCCAAAACTTGAGCCACATAGGAAATAAACCCCCTACATTGGATGCAACGTAAGTAATATTGATCTATTGATAAAGTAAAGGTTTAAAGAAGAGTCTATCGTATTTCTATTTTAAGTCTTCCTCTATTTTAGAAGATTTGTTCAAGGTAACAATTTATTGGAAATCGCTCAGTACAATAAAAATAGATTTTTGCATGAATAATATTTCTAAATTTAAATTCTTGCATTACAAAAGAAAAGATCCAACTTGCTTTAAAAATATCACCCTGTTTATTTAAGAATATTTCCATTTTCATTTCGTAGATTTCTGAAATTTCGAATTTGACTAAATCATAAGCTTCGAGTTTCCAGATTACTGAACTTGTATATAGCAATCCGATAGAAATTTACAGATTAAACACAAGACCAATGTCTCAATCTCAAAGAAAAAGTGGTTTCTTTAAATATAAGCGAAATTCGTTATCTTCAGACGAAATTATTGTTATCCCAATGTTCAAAAAGGACACCTTCCTAGACACCAAAAGTATTATTCACCAGCCAGATTTAAGTACCCAGAACATGAGTGCCCAGAGTATGATGGATTCTAAGGGGAATCCATACCGCCAATAAGGGTTAGGCTCTTCAAAAAGCCTTAACCCTGTAATCATAATTTTTATCACCTAATTTACCATCTTTTTAAATACCAATGGGGCTAATAGTATAACTCAATATTCCAGATGTAGTCTGGGGTTTTGGGGTTTTGGGGTTTTGGGGTTTTGGGG